TATCTGATCCAATACTGAAGGCCAATTTGAGAGCAGCCAGCAGCAGATGCTTTGAAAAGGACCTCAGAAGAGTAGGCAGATGCAGGACAGTCATCCCGTCTGCACCGGAGTCAGTCTGTTTTCTAGGAACTATGGTGGCTTGCTGCCCGATGCAGGCAAGATGCTGACTGAAAGTGGAAACACTGATCTCTGAATAAATCATGAGAGATGGAAAAACCACTGCTCACCAACAGTCAACTCTTCTCTTCTGCTTATTTTTCCTTGTTTCCCTATAACATTTAGCTTGATTTTGACTTGCCTCCTTCTTCAACAAGGCCAAGTGTTATATATATATATATATATATATATATATATAAACAGGTTTGGAAACACTTTAGTTCCTATGTGGTGTTTTGCCACCCTCAAATTACAGGAGAGTACTGTGCCAACTTGGTTTCAAACTGTATCTGCTCAAGCCATACATATTAAAATATTTATTCTTTCCATACCAATCATTCTCATTTGTCCAAAACAAATTAACAAAACATCCAAACAGCACTCAGTGCTGCCAAATGCACCACCAGGAATATATCACGAGGCATTAATTGCAAATCTGTTCATCTCATACTTATGGCATACAGATCAAGGCGTTTGGATAACAAGTCATTCTATGCATATCTACAACCGCCAGAGCTGCCAAGTCTTCATTTAGCACTCAAGCCTATATGGATGTGGGACACAGGGGTAAAAATCTTTTTTACATGTCTTAATAGCTTGAAATTAAAATACTATTTTGCTCATGACTTTAGCTGCATACTTAAAAAGGAACGACACACTTCTGCAGTGGTTTTGCTTCTTTTCTCATTTTTCATAATGATGTAAATACAAAACTACTAGCTGGATAACTGAGCAGCAGAATCCACCAAGACAAGTACAATACAGGCAGCAGCACAGCCTGACAGGACCCTAAGTCCTCTAAGTAAGAGATATCCTCTACCAGTAAAACATGACTTTCATTCAGAGAGAATTTCAGTCTCTGCAGACACTTAGTCCTTGGTCTCATTGCTACAAGAAGATTCTGAGTGCTGTATTCAAAAAGAGTGCTTATCTGTGATGGATTGCACTTATGTAAAAATAAACACGTGAATAAAAATAAGCCAACTTCTTTGAACTGATGAATAACTCCAAGTCATTAGTAATCTGCCTGAGATTTTAACACCAGAATCAAAAAGCTTTATTACCTACTTTGAGCTACCCAATTTACATCAAGTGTACTCACTGTGAAAATAAAGGCTGTAAGAATTTCAGAACTGACATCTGACATTATTTCTTACCTCAACTTTTTTTGTAAGAGGAAGAAAATGAATACAAGTGCCTTTTAGAAGGAAGCATAAAAAGACCAACCTTGCATAATCTGACAAGATACACAGGTACCCAGTAACTTGAAAAAGCAACAACTTCCTTTTACAGTTCACTGACAGATGTGACACATTATAAGCTCATCAAGTTCTACAGTTTACTTCAGAAATTAATTGTCTGGTGACACATAAGGACTGCCTTATGTAGCCATTATCTTTTAAACTACAGCTTAAAAGAAGGCAGGGTACAAAAACCTTTTCTGGTTTACACACATGTGGAAACATACATGCAGGCATGGGACACAACTGAACTGTTAACCTGATGCAACTTTTATCTTAAAAGATCACACAAGTTTTGCCCAAAGAAGTTCACAGCTCAGATGCTATTACCTGTATTTTTAGGTTTGAGAGGAATTGCCCAATTCATTGTGTTCTGGCAATAAAGCAACAAACTTACAGAATAGTTATATACATAACACAGGCTGAAATCTTGCACAATAATGCAACATGTTCATAACTGGATGTCATGGATATAACGAAAATTTAGACGAACATGCAAGCACTCACCCTACACCATTAGTTTAGGCTTATGTTTCCAGCAGCTCTGTTTCAGGCTGCAGTGGTACATTTTTCCTATGCAGCTCTATGGCCTTGCCTACCTACGAGGTTTTCCTTAGCAGAAAAAAGCAGTCCTTGGCATGGTCATAATTTGGTTTTGAACTTACCACTCCATTAAGATAAATGAGTAAGTTCACTTCCCTGTCAATAGTATTGTTTGTGTCTGCCTTGCTACAGGTACTTTAAGACACTACACATTGATTTACTGGGTGAAGAATGACAACCTAAGAGTCTTGGAACTGTGTGTATATATATACACATATATATATTAAATCTTTCTGTTTGAGAAGCACAAACAAAAAGATGAATCCCAACACAGTAATAAATTACAAGACTGGAGTATATTAATTCTCTGAAAATCCCCCTTTAATAGTGGGAAATAATCCTTTAAGTTGAAGGGCTGTCTGTTACTGAGTTGGAATAATAAACTTATTCCCCTTTCAGTTTTTTGCCCCAAACAATCAAGAAACCCAAATAAACTATTCCTTTGCTATTTAGCACTAATGCTGCTATGTTTGTAAACACAAAACAGAAACAAAATGTAGCTGAGAGTAAAGCCAAGCTAAGTTATAATTACTAGCATTATTAGTAAAAACCCAATGGCAATTACCGCAAACATGTTTCCAAGATGTACAGTCAGAAAATATCACCTTATGGAAATGTAAGATTTTTTTTCCTCACTAGATTTCAAAATACTCTTTACAGCTGGGATTCCAAATGTTAATAAGCAGCATTTTAAACTCGCACATTTAAGTGTTTACACAGTGGGGAACTTCTTTATTGTACTGATTTTCTTTCATCCAACTCCTGTATTTAGAGAAAAGCATCACAGACAGCAAACTCTTTTGCTAGCATTTTATTAATGCGGTAGAACGTGCATTTTAAAGCACCTGTATCCAGTGAATTTTCCATTCACGTGCGTTTTGATGAGTTACACCTTCTGTTTGGAGAGTTTATTTGCCAGATTTCAGTGACACGCTTCTAGTTTGACTTTGATGGTACAGTGACAGTATCAAAGATAAGAAGTCACTCATTTCATTGGAAGTTTTGAAACAAGGTGCAGCAAGAGCACTTGCTCAGAGTTCAGTAATTCAGCAGTACTCTATGCAGGCAAAATTTAACTTCTTGGGAAAAGTTACATCAACATCAAAAAAACACTTCACCCTTGACAGACTTTCCTTTGGGCTTAACTGTTTTGGTAACTATTTCCCCAACACTACTTAAACATTACTCATTTAACCCCAGGAATATCAAATCCTAGTTTAGAAATATAATCCCACTTGCATTACTATATAAAAATCCTTTACCTGTGATGCACGTACTATTGGCTATTTTGTAACACAGCAGATAGATGACTTTTTTTAACCACGTTCACATTACATGATTGGCCTTGTGATAATGTGGCAGAGAATAACATGCACTAATGAGAGTGACAGGAAAGGAAAACTGCATTGTGCTACTGTAAGAATCCTGTGGCTTCTAAGACATGAGTAAGGGCAAAATCTATTATAGCATTGATATGACAGTATATTATACAATTACAAGCTGAAATTATCCATCACATGCAGTGTAGAAGAGGAAAAGGAACAATACTAACTTGGAACATCCCTGCTGTAGCTGCCCCTGACTGCTCAGTATTTGCAGTCAGTATGTGCTGCTGTACTACCATATTTTCCTTTTTCCTAGGTATTTTATTCTCTCTTCTTATTGTTACCCATATGGATACACTGAACACCGAAAACAGACTGTAGAAAGTGTGAAAAGATATGAACTATATTATCTGATAGTACTCCATGACTAAAACCAGTTTGTCTTGTCTGATCATTACTTTCTACCTTAGCCATTTTCAGCACTCCTTGCAGTAATAGCAAGTAAAATGACTTCTATCAGAAGCAACATTAGGGCTACCCCTTCAGTTCCCGTATTTTCACTCATGTCACACTAATACCCCATTAGATGAAAGCTAAATTGCACAAAAATAATATTAAAAGTAGGGCAGACTCTCCTAATTTAGATATAGATGCATCCTACCTAGTCTATAACTTTAAATAGAGACGTACATTGAAGAAACAGATAAGGAAATGCTATGCTCTATCCAGATGGTCGGTAACATAGAACATGATGTTTCACAAGAAGTTATGAGTGGGTTTGGAGGTTTTTTTCCAATTCTTCCTAACAAAACTTCATATCCCCATGATGTGCTATGCATTTATATTTTCCTAAATGGGATGATTCCCTTCTTAATCCTGAGGCATTTTTCTTTAACGCACGCCTTACAACCGACAGAATTAAAATACTGGCTTGAGTAAGACCTGATAAGCATGCACCTGTGACAGAGACTTTAGATGTGCGGGTTTTTCGGACAATCAGACCATAGCACATAAAATTTAGGCGTTAGGGACAGTCAGACACCTTTCAACAGCAATTTCCCTTAACGCGCAGCGAGCCCTCCCGAGCCCACTCTGAGGGTGCTTTGCGTTCGGCAGAATGAAGGAAACCTTAAAACCGTGTTTCAAGTAAAAAGCCGCTACGGCTCCACCTCGCCGGGAGGTAACTTTCGGTTACCTGCCGCTCGGCCGCTCAGTCACAAGCCTCGGCGGCTGGGGGCGGCTCCGCCGAGCCCGTAGACACCCCGACAGTCCCCGCCGCCGCTGCGTTACCTCCCGGTCCCCAGCGCCGCCCGGCGGGGTCGAAACCTCGCCCGTCCAGGGGCAGGAAGCAGAGCCCCCCAGTTTCCCTCCCACCAAACACCCAACTTCCGCGGGGTCACGGACACAGGCGGCAGGAACCGGTGGCCTCCGGGCCCCGCACTCCCTCTGCCCCCCTCCGCGGCCAGGAGAAGCCGAGCTCGCCGCAAGGAGTCCCCCCAGCGCCCCGACACCGGCCGCGGCTGCCACCCCACTTCCCCGGGCTGGGCGGCACCAGCGCTGCGGGGCACAGGTGCGGGTCCCCTCCCCGCCGGCAGCCGCCCGCCCTTCCCTCGCACCCCGCGGCCGTCGGAAAGTTGGCGGGAGCCCACCCGCACCGCACCTCGGTCGCCCTTACCGTGGTTGCTGGCGACGTGACCGGCGGTGGCGGGGCGCGCCGTCAGCAGGGGGAGGAAGAGGCCGACTCTCCAGAGCAATCTCCCCACCTCACAACACCCCATGGCTGGTACCCGCCGAGGCTCCCCGTCCTCCTTCAGGCCGGCGGGGAACGCCGCCGCGGCGTCCACACCCGCAGCCTCGCCGGTGTCCGGTGCGGCCCGGCGGGCTGCGCTGCCTGCAGTGCCGCCGGACGCTGCTCGGGCCGGGGCAGGCGCATCCACCAGCGGGGTCCCGGAGGGCGGGGGCGGGCGGCGGCGCCGGAAGACCCCGTTGACCGCCCTGCCGCGAGGGGCGGCGGCGCTGGGAGTCCGGAGCGCTCCGGCAACTTCGAGGGGCTGCGGCGGGCGGCAGTCGCGCCCCGCTCCCACCGCCGGTTCCGGCCGGGGGCACCGTCAGCCCCGCAGAAGCGCCCCCAGCAGCTTCAGCAGCCTCCTTCGCTGGAGCAGCCTCCTCCTCCCCCGGCCGCGCCGCACGGCCCCCCACATCCCCGGCCGGCGGCAACGCTGAGGGGCGTCAGTTTCCCACGGTGGAGCGCCTCGCCCGCGCCGCAAAGCTTCCGAGGCGGGAGGATGAGAAGGGCCGGGTGCCTCCTCCCGCTCCTAAAGGGATCAAGGAAACTTGTGGGGCAGCATCCCCAACCCCTCCGCCGTCCCCGGTTCTGCCGCTCGCCCCTCTCTGTCTCTGCCTCTCCCCCTCTGCCGCGGAGCAATCAGAAATCAGGCGGCTCTGGTGTGATGCTCGCTGCTCCCTCCTGATTTGTGTGCGGCGCAGCCGGCTGCAGTTTTTTGGTGGTGGTGGTGGTGGTGCCGGTGCCGCCGCTCCCCTGCCGCCCGCGGAACGATGGCCCCCTCCGGTGCGCCCAGCCCGGCGGGTGCCGGGTCCGCCGGGAGGCCAGCGCGGCCCCCGCGCCGGGGGCGCTCCGGAACGCGCGCCCCGCTCGGCCCGGTGCGAGCGGGAGGGGCAGGGGGGAAACGGGATGGAGGGAGGGGCGGGAGAGCCGTTAGGGCGGCGGCCTCTCCTCTGCCGCCCTCCGGAGGGGAGTGTGGGGCGGGCGTGAGGCAGGCGAGGAGAAGCGCCCCTTCGCCTCGCCGCTACCGGCAGCCCGCAGGTCAAATGCGGCCGGCTCAGCGCTAGAGGGGGTTAGTCGACAAGGCAAGGGAAGGGAGGAAGCAAAAACCGAGCCCGGCCGGTGCGCTCCGCTCGGGAAGGGCCCCAGTGTTGCTGCCGTTTAATAGCGCTCCAGGCCTCCAGCCGCCGTGAGCGCCTGGCGGGAGCGGGGCAGCCGCTCGGGGGTCGGTCGCTAACCGGAAAGAAAAGCGGCAGAGGCTGAGCACTGCCCCTTGAAGTTACGGCGGGGGGGGAAACAGGAGACGAGCGAGGGTGGGGCTCCTCGGAACGCTCGCTCTAGGTTTGGATGGTCGGGTTGGGCGTTTTAACGCCTCGGTTATGTAGTAGGAGCGTGCGCAGGGCGTGGAGGTGTCTGCGTCCTGAGCAGGTGTGCGGCTCCTGGCAGCCCTGCCCTACTCAAAGCACACGGGGACTCGTTATTGTTTTTAACCCATCGAGCATTTCAGTTGCTGTACATAGAAAAAACCCAACACAGGAAGATACCTATATCCGTATTGCTGAATATGGATTCCTAAAGTCAGGCGCTTAAATACACAGCTGGGAGAAAAAAAACCTGCCTGATGCTCAAGGCTTCTGAGCGTCCATAAATCCCGTTGAAGTCAATGGGTAATGCAGCCCCAAGATCCTGCACCAGACAATAGCAAAGTTCCCGCTGAGGTGCCTAAGCAACCGTTCGGAGAAGCTATGTATAACCACAGTTAAGCTGTAATGCAAGCATAAAATAATCTTTAAATTATTAATTTAAGGATTATTTTCAAATTAGTTGTTCTGAGCCAAGTCGACAGAGAAATATATATGGGGGGAAGGGGGGAGTATAGGGATTTTTTCAGATTACAGCTGGCCTACTGCAATATTTCCATATTTAGCTATAATAGCAATGTTCCATAAGGAAATGAACTTTTATTCAGAAACATTAATAGGAAAAGCTTCAGGAAATATTTATAAACTGGGATATAGTCATTAGTATTTTTGCTTTGGTTTCATGGGTATGGAAAAAGGACCCATTTGGAGGTTAGATTAGGTGACCTTCAAAGTCCATTCAAGCCCAATCTAATCTATGATTCTGTAATCCTGTGTGTCACAACGCCGTTGTGCCTTATAGTTAACATGGCCAAAAGGAAAGCAGCACTGACATTAGAAGGTTAGCTTTCTAGGGTAATGGGTAAGCATTCAGATTATTCTTCTGCTCCAATTCTTGGTTCAGTAGTAAGATGCTTCCAAACCAGATTGCCAGAAAAAAATCAGTGCAGGACATTATACATGAAGATCCCCCAAATTAAGATAAGTCATTTGGGCCCTGAGCACAATTAGTGCCACTCTGGCTGCAACCTCTGAAAAAGACTTTTCATGTGTTAATGTGAAAGGGCAATTAGCACAGCAAATGTAAACTGAGGTTCCTTCCCTCACATCTGCTGCTAGGAAATACCAAGTTGGCCTTTTTGTAACAGGATTTCCTCAGACAGCCCTTGTAACTTTTGCGTATATGTTTATACATGTGTGTCTACTCTCCATGTACTTTTATGTGCCTGTACATCTCCATGTACACCTGTACATCTCCATGTACACCTGCACACATTTTAGGTGGACATGCTGATGTTATGCTTCCTTACTTGCCGCTAATAAAGCCAAACCAGACTCCTTCAAGGAGCTCAAGTCTGGCTTACTGCTGCTTTTGCTTTTACTATAGCTGAACACAAAAAGGAGGCAGTGAGAGATGTGGCAGGAGCACAGACAAACCATTTCATCTTTTTTCTTGCATGCAAATCACGGCTTTGCCTCATGGTAACCTTGGAACTCCACAAGCCACAGGATACTCTCAGGTAACAAAAGACATAAAAAGGGGGCATTTTCTCTAAGGCATCCCTTCACCAGCTTTTAACCAGCTAGAGAATTTCCAGGGGAACATCTCTGACAAAACACCACTCACTCATCTACACACAGATTAATTTTTATGAGCTTCTGTATTATCATGAATTCCAAATTAAGTCTTAAGTACCATGCTTTAATGTTTCAGGTGGATGCTAACATGCTAAATGTAACAGAGGACAGCAGAAATATTAAATATAGGAAGGTAGAATACTATTTGTATAACTTTTTATCTGAAATTTAAAGCCATTTAATATTGTAAACAGTGAAGCAATAAATTTTGCGAGGGATAATCACACAGGGTAAGACAAGTGAAGCCCCAGTTTAAGTACCTCCATCCTCAGGTTTCTAGAGTATGTTCTATAGGCAAGGAAATGCCTATATTCCCATTCTCAAAACAAACCAGAATTTGGTCTGTCCTGGGAACATAAAAATACCTATTCCATTTTTATTCTTAAATAAAGGGACCATCTTTCTGTTAAGAACAAACACAGCAGAAAGAAAATCTAGCAAAGACATAGAATTACATGTAATATGCAGTCCTTTTTTCTCTGGGTAGTTACCCATACATAATTTACTTTTAATGTATCGTGATTGTATTGATTATAATAAAACTATGACTTCCTGTAAAAAAACTAAAGCCAGTCTTTTTTTATTAAAATCCACAATAATGTAGTGTTGTATTGTTAGTCCTTTGAACCATCATTCACAACTGTGTGTGGTTTAGTGTGATCAAACATTCTAAGTAAGACACTGACAAAGAACAGATTTACAGTGAACTTAAAACACATTTTCTGTGTAGCACTCAATAGGATTCACTGATGTTAAAATTACCGTAATATTTGGACCAAGACACCTGCATTAGGATTTTTTACAAGAGGAACACTTGCACATAGTGACCTTAACTATAGCATGTATACTAAGAAAAATTACAAGGGAATATGCATCCCTTACGGTGTGAGCCAACAGCTTTCTAGCTAACAGAATACACTGCTGATCTGGCAGTCTAACCAGGAATCAACCCTTTAACAGTATCTCCCTTATTCAGGGTTATAAATTACACTTTCACATAAAACTGAAAGTTAATTCCGTTTTGTTCTACATTATATTCTTGTTTCTGTAGGATTATACACTTTGTTTGAATGAGCAGGCCTTTTAGTTTACTAAGATCTTTACATTTTATCCTATTTAATGACAGGTTGAAACTTGATCACTACTGATACTTTTCCTTCCTCCTGCCGTAGTTCCCAAATATGCTTACGGTATGTGCAGCAATTCACATGAAGTTTTCTAAGTATTTGCAGATTTTGGCAGTTTTCTGCGCCCCTACACACATTAAGGGAAAAAAGTTAGAACATTAATAACGTATCAGGCTTATTACCTTCCCTATTATTGATACAGAAATAGATAATGAAAGTAAAAGGGATGGGAGTCAAAAAGAAAAATGTATGCTCAGAGATATCTGCTAGAAAGATAAGAGTACTAAGCCTAGGCTGAATAGGTATATGGATTCTGATATTAAAACTATTATTTGAATTACAAAGCTAACATCAGCACTTTAGTCTTGAATTTACCATGCTGCAGGATATTTTGTTATAGGCAACGATTCCTACATGTATAGTATCCAGAAAAGCCATTTTCCAAATCTGGCCTGCTAATTATTGAAGTTATGTCACTAGACAACATTTTTCTTTTCTGTTGGCTTGTATAGAGCACGGACCTATTCTGAGAACACTGATTCTCATGCTCTGCATCATGTAAGAAGGTGCAATTTAATTAAGTGACAATGAACCAATTATAACAAACAATGTTTCAGGGAAATTATCGCTGAAACGTGCAGTGTGCTAGTTTTGTCCCCATCTTGTTACATGCACGAGCTTTGAATGGTCTCAAATTATTTTTAACTAAAACTACTGAATCATGATTACAAGATTATACAATGTACAAGGTTGTAAAATGCTATAGGTTGTTCAAAGTTTACACCTTACAGTTAGACAAAATAGTGAAACTTTAAAGGGGTGATAGAGGCAAAATAGTTGCCATGTTTTTCACTCGCAGTTTCTTCAAATAAATCCAATT